CTTGTACTTATTATCTTGTAAACAATTGACAAATCAAATAAATAAAATAAATAAATAAAATAAATAAAGTAGTGCATTCCTTAAATGTTTTCATAGATAATTCCTAGGTGACCGAAGTTTCTGGCTCACAAAATTATAACTGGAGAGCATGAGTGATGACTCTTGGCTATGGATGTGTCCCATTGGAGAATATGAATGATGATATACCCAGGTAGGCATGTTCACTCCTCATAAATCTTCTTAAGCTCTGAAAGATCTGGCTAGAGACTCATGATTTAAATGGGGGTGAATACCGGAGCCCTGACAATATGCTCATCTGGGACAGGCCCCAGCTGTTCTACCCCCCTCGCTCATCTCAGGTCCCCAAAAACAGCTGTCTATCCACCTGAGCATGAGTAGATGGGCCTACTCTGCATCTGGCTTTGAGACCTCCTGCTCCTCAGATCCTTCTGCCAGCTTTGATGGTAACCCAGGTTTTGATGGTAACCCAGGCACCCCCTCCATCTCCTCTGACTTGATTGCCATCTCGCCTGGCATTCGAGGAACCACAATAATCACTCCTCCTTGGTTCACCTATGGAACTGCCTGCCATTTTGCTGGGGAAGCCGGAGAAATAAAAGGAGCCATGAACCCCAAGGAAAACTACACCCCCATTCCTCATTCTGGTATGTACCCAAGGGCTCCTACCTTTGGGAAGGAAAAAGGCTTACCCACTGACACCAACACCCTCCAGCCAGCCATATCTTGTCAGCAGACTTCCTTTTCTTAAAATAATTTTATTTTATTTTTAATATAATCATTCCATCTTCAGTTGAACAGTGTGTTGTCTGTGTACAAGTATCTTTGTCAAACAATAATCAAAATCACAACATCCTTAGTTAAATTAATATTAATTCTATAACATTCACATAATATTCAACATACTAGTCATATTTACTTATCTCTTTTAACATATCTTCTTTATTTTGTTTCCCTATTTCTAATTTCCATTTTTATTATTTAACCATTGGTAAAATAGATCCCATATCAGATAGTATTCCGTTTGCTCTTTCTCCTTAATTGCCAGCGTTAATCTATTCATTTATCTGAGAGTTTAGGAGTTTATAGGTTAATGACGACAACTATTTTATTCCTTTACTGCAGGGGTGTCAAACTCACGTTGTCACATTGTCGTCATGTGATGTATCACGAGTTTTCCCTTCGCTAAACCAGGGTTGGGTGTGGCCAACGCATGACGCATCCGGCTGCGGGCCGTGAATTTGACACCCCTGCTTGACTGGATTCATAGCCCAACATTGACAATATTTCAAATAAAAAATGCAAGTTTAAAGCAAGAAATATAAGTCATAGAATTATAAGACTTACAACAGTACTGAAAAAATGTGACTTATGACTATTTTTCACATTTATGACTGTTGCAGCATCCCCATGGTCATGTGATTTACATTCCCATGTTTGCTAATGGACTCATATTTATGATGGTTGTGGAGTCCTGGGGTCATGTGAACACCTTTTGTGACCTTCCAACAAGCAAAGTCAATGGGGAAACCAGATTCACTTAACAACCGTGTGACTAATTTAACAACTGCAGCGATTCACTTTAACAAATGTGGCAAGAAAAGGAATTTCTCGCTTAGCAACATATGTTTTGGGCTCAATTGTGGTCGTAACTTGAGGACTACCTGCACTGGAGCAGATTCACAGAATGTCATGCCCCTGTTGGAATCTGATTCTGAGGGGGAGGTTGAGCAGCTAACAGGGAGTGGGAGTGTGGCTCCGGTAGCTGTGGAAGAAACCAGGGAAGGGCACAGTCTGGCTGGGCATTCAGAGGAAGACCAAGGGCCACCCCCTCTTCATCCTAGGGCATGCAGGGAGGAACGGAGAAGGGAGCAATGGGAGTTATAGGGGAGAAAAGGGCCCCGATTCCCTTCATTAGCTGCAGCTGGGAAAACAGGATTTAAAAAGGGTGTTTGTGCACAGCACCTTGCTGGAAGGAAAGCATGCATTATCTTTGTTTGTCAAATCTTCTCTGGGTTCTCCCAACTGTGTGTGTTTCGTTATCTTTTGAAGTCTTCAATTCCTTATCCTGCCCTGTCTCGTTAATTGCTGCAGCGTGGTTTGTGTTGGTTTTTATTCATAATTTATATATACTTTGGGTTCGGACTGAATTTCTTCATTTTAAAAACTGTTCTTGGGGGAGTTTTTTCTCCAACTGATGATAACTGGACATTGGGGGCCAAGTTGGAGGAATTAAAAGGACTTTACCTATTTTTGTGACTTTGTTGCTTTTGTGCCACGCCCCGGGTCATCACACAGAATGGGAGGTGCTCCTTAAACAGAGATCTACTAAGCTAGGCAACAGAAAACGATACAGCCAATTAAAATAACCAGAAGGAATTTGTACAAAAAGCCAGTTGCCCAGAGCAAGGCCAGGATGACAAAACCAATGACAAAGTACCTACGGACGTCCTCGTCATATAGCATGTCCTTAAGAGTGTAAATATTTCTGGCCAAAGTACTTGGGGTCTCAGAGAAGAATTGCAATTTCTTGATACTTCGCCTGATCTTGGGGCAGTCCAGCAGCCGGTGCTCGGGGTTTTTCGCATCCAGGAACGGACGCATGTGATGAGTGATACTATCGATTTGAGGCTTCAAGGCATCATAAATGAAGACATACTGGCTTGTCACCCGAACCGCATTTGCCTCCGAATGCAGGGTCCCCACCAGGTTAGAGCAGCGCCTGAGGGCCTCCTGCAGATTCAGAACATCCTTGTGGAAGTCGGTTAGCTGCTTTTTTCGCTTTTCCATCTCTTCAAGATTCTTCTGGGTTGTCTTAATTTTACTCTCTTGGTTTTTCAACTGATTCTGACATTTGGCAACTTGGTCCAGAGCCTTCTGTTCCTTGGCATGATAATCATTTACCATTTCTTGTGCTCTGTTGGCCTTTTCCTCAGCCACCTTCTGAGACCAGTGAGCGTCGATAGCCTGAATACCCCCTGATAATGAGACAAAGACAAAATCAGGGGATGTCACATGTAGCCAACAAGTTTTTCCAACCAAGATCATTCCACGCACATTTAGATAACAGATAACAGACAATCAGAGTTGGAAGGGACCTTATAGGTCATCTAGTCCAACCCCCCTGCCCAAGCAGGAGACCCCACACCATTTCTAACAAATGGCAGTCCAATCTCTTTTTGAAAGTCTCAAGTGATGGCGCTCCCACAACTTCCAAGGGCAAAGCTGTTCCATTGGTTGGTTGATTTCACTGTCAGAAAGTTTCTATTTCTAGGTTGAATCTCTCCTTGTTCAGTTTCCATCCATTATTCCTTGTCTGGCCTTCAGGTGCTTTGGAAAATAGCTTGACCCCTTCCTCTCTGTGTGGCAACCCCTCAAATATTGGAAGACCGCTATCATGTCTCCCCTGGTCCTACTCTTCACTAGACTAGCCAGGCCCAGTTCCTGTAACCATTCTTCATATGTTTTAGTTTCCAGTCCCCTAATCATCCTGGTTGCTCTTCTCTGTACTTTTTCTAGAGTCTCAACATCTTTTTTATAATGTGGAGACCAAACAGGATGCAGTACTCTAGGTGTGATCTTACTAAGGCTTTATAGAGTGGTATTAGTACCTCACTTGATCTTGATTGTATCCCTCTGTTAATGCAATTTAGGATTGCATTGGCTTTTTTGGCTTCTGCCGCACACTGCTGGCTCCTATTTAGCTGGTTGTCCACTAAGACTCCAAGATCTCTCTCACAGGTACTGCTATTAAGCCTGGTTTCACCCAGTCTATATGTGTACTTTTGGTTTTTCTTGTCTAAGTGTAGGACTTTACTTTTCTCTACATTGAATTTCATTTTGTTAGATAGGGCCCAGTGTTCAAGTCTGTATGATGATGATTTAACTCTTTAACTGTGGCAGCAGCTGAACTACCATGTCTCAGCTTGGGGACCTCGGACAAATCGCCACAGCCAATTCATTGCAGCCAACTCACCACGGG